GACCTGCAAATTCTGTGTGATGTGAGGCAAAATGGACTCTATTGTAGTGGAACTCGTTCTTGTGCAATGTGCTGTGTAGACAAGATGCAGCACTGTTCAGCACTTTTTCAGAAAATTACATTTGTGTTTTTATATATCTGAGCAATGTTCTTTCATAAAAAAGGTTTGTTTAATAAATACAGATCTTACAACCATACATAATCTGTTCACAGTTCATTTTTCTGTTAAAAAGACTCGAAAAGACTCGAAAATGAAACTATAGGACTTTGGACTTGACTTGAGACTTGTTGCCATTGACTTGGGACTTGACTCGGGACTTGCCTGTCTTGACTCGGGACTTGACTCGGGACTTGAGGGCAATGAATTGAGACTTACTTGTGACTTGCCAAACAATGACTTGGTCCCACCTCTGGCTGATCTGTCAGTTCATGTATCTGACATGTTTCAATAGCCTTTGCTAATGTCAACTCATTGTCACGCAACAGCAGTTTTTTCATTCCATTTACATTTAGTCATTTAGCAGACGTTTTTATCCAATGCAACTTACAAATGAGGACAAGGAAGCAATTTACACAACTATAAGAGCAACAATGAATAAGTGCTATAGGCAAGTTTCAGGTCTGTAACTTGCAACATTACGTATTCCATCATTAAGTATTCCTCAAACGAGTCGATCCCTTATCAATTCTTCTTGCAAATCTCCAAATCCGCAACTCTGTGCATTGTTTTGCAAGTCACTCACGTATGCCTCTATAGTTTCACCAGGCTTTTGATTTCTTGAATTGAATTTGTGTCTCTCCATTGTTATATTTGTTTGTGGAGTGCAAAGTTCTCGAAACTTGCGTTTTAACCACTCCGGGTCCTTGCGTGATTCTGCCTGTATGTGTATTTGTCGGTCATCACCCTGACCTGTATATACCGCGGGTTCATAAACAAATGTTTGTTCGCGCTTGATGGCTTCTGAGCCGGCCAGGTTAAGCAGGATGCTTTTGTGCGAGGCTCTTTCTCTGAGTGTGCCGCAGCTATGAATACATCAAATTCCTGTTCAAAAACACGCCAATATTCAGTATTGTCATCTAAGACCAGCAGATCGGGTCTGCGGAAACCTTCGGCCATAATTATTTTTCTGCGAAGCTCTTCGACAGCTTACTGTGTCGAAGCACGATGGACGAGCCTTTTTTTCGCCGTCATCAGAATTCCGTGCAGATCACTTCTGAAACCATGTTAGCCACGAGATCATAATAACGTTAAACAGCTTTTACTTAAGCACAGCAAACAGTTCACATAACTTTACATGATGGCTTTTTCTTTCTGCCATATCACTATTGTACATGGGCAGTAGCGGGTTTAGGAACAGAGCATTTAAAGCGACAGAACACACATACTACATCTATTAATGATAATGACGTCTTTAAAAGTCATATTATCAAAAATGACATAACTAAAATTATTTGTAGTTTTGTTTACTATATTATCATGTTAAATATACACATTTCTACATGACCAACTATTATTCAACTAATATAAAATAGGAAAATTAATTCTAAAAACATTGGGTCCCACTTTATATTAAGTGTCCCTAACTACTATGTACTTACATTAAAAAAATAAATACAATTTACTTACTGTGTTTATAATGTATTTGAGAACACTTGTGGTGCTTTTGAGTTGGGATATAGGTTGGGTTATGGACAGGTTTGGTGGTATGGGTAGGTTTAAGGGTGGGTTAAGGTGTAAGGGATGGTCAACAGTGTATTTACCAATGTAATTACAAAAGTTAAATACAGATGTAGTTACATACATGTATTTAATTCAATTCAATTACACTTCTTCAGCTTGACAGCATCCCTTACTTCCGGTGTCCACCACCGGGTTTGTGGATTGACGCCTCGACAGGCACCACAGACCTTACAGCCACAGCTCCTCATGGCCGCGTTAACAATGGAGTTGGAAAACATGGACCACTCAGTCTCCATGTCTCCAGCCTCCCTCGAGATCTGGTCAAAGCTCTTCCGGAGGTGAGAGTTGAAAATCCCTCTGACCTGAGGTTCAGCCAGACTTTCCCAGAGGACCCTCACAATACGCTTGGGCCTACCAGGTCTTTCCAGCCTTTCCCCTGCCAGCGGATCCAACTCACTAGCAGGTGGTAATCAGTTGACAGCTCTGCCCCTCTCTTTACCAGTGTCCAAGACATACGGTCTGAGATCAGATGATACAATTACAAAGTCTATCATTGACCTCTACCCTAGTGTGTCCTGGTGCCATGTGCACTGATGGACACCATTTTGCTTGAACATGGTGTTTGTTATTGTTACGATTTAAAAGATGTTAAATAAAGGGGAAGAGGAGTAACATTAACTTTTGGGTGAAACACATAAGCAACCACACAACATCAATAAATGAGGGACAAAAACCAAGACCAGCTAAATGCAATACGTGATTTTATTTACAAAAATAGTGATAATAATGAATGCCAAAAAAAATGTATATAGAAAGATTCTTGAATATTTACAAAGAGACATTGATTTTCACAGATAACAAATGACATAAGACGTTTGACCAGATATGGGAGAGTTGGAGAAATGAGACGCGGGCGGCATCCAAACAAAAGAAATAAATAAAACAAAAGCAATCTATTTGGCCCAATCTCTACCCTATCTATCCAAAATAAAAATGCAGAAGTTATTGAAAAGAATCTTCACGTCTAATACGCACTACCTAACCTACGCTGATCTTTGATGGAAAAACCAAAAGTACAGTGGGTGGAGCACGCCCCTTACCTAGTGTGTCTAATACAGAGATATTCAAGCTACTTGTGCACAATGTATGTCGCACGACATTCTTACCTGCCCCACTCTCCAACCTCAGATGCGCATGACATCGACGGTAGACAAATAGAGAACAAATAACGGACAGATACCAAATTGTAACACACAGTAGACATATATCAAAAAACACAGACACACAGCACAACACAGAAATTCAGGGCCTCCAGTGTAGCGTCCTGTCACCACTTTTATGCCACGGTGGCAGCGGCTGGATTGGAGACCTTGGATGACGTCAAGGGGGGCACAGCAAACAGCTGGGCAGCGGTAGCCAATCGGAGCCACTGTATAGGTGGAAGCGGGAGAGAGGTAGAGAGCAAGCGAGCACGGAGAGAGAGAGAGAGAGAGAGAGAGAGAGAGAGAGAGAAAGAAAGAGACTAGCGAGAAAAAAATATATATAAATAATAATTACGCAACACAGAAATGTACAAGAATGTAACAGTTATGGATAAACTGTGATTAACACAGAAGTCCAATAACAAAACACCACTCGAGTTCAGATCAGGCAGGCCGTTCCTCCCAATCACGCCTATCCAGTTATCACTGTCATTACCCACGTGGGTTTTGAAGTCCCCCAGTAGAACAACAGAGTCCTCAGTCTGGGCTATTTCCAGCACCCCTACTAAGGACGCCAAGAAGGCCGGATACTCTGCACTGGTGTTTGGCCTGTAGGCACATACCACAGTGAGAGACCTATCCCCGACCAGAAGGTGCAGGGATGCGACCCTTTTGTTCATCGGGGAAAACTCCAACACATGGCGACTAAGCTGGGGAGCTAAAAGCAAGGGAGATAAAACCTTCCCTCCCAGTGAGGTGACATTCCATGTCCTAAGAGCCAGTTTCTGTGCCTTTCGATCGGGTTGTCCTGGTCCTAACATTCGACCACCACCCTTTCCACAATGCACTAGCTCCTTATAGCTCCCCCTGCAGGTGGGGGGCCTGCGGGAGGGTGGTCCCACGTCGCTCCTTCCAGCTAAATCAGTTATTAAAGGTGAGTTATTAAAACTATTGTGATTAGAAATGTGTTGAAGAAATCTGCTCTCTGTTAAACATAAATTGGGGTAAAAAATAAACAGGGGGTGTAATAATTCAGGGGGCATAATAATTTAGACTTCAACTGTATATATACAAGAAAAAAGTAATCAGTGAAATAATTATTAATAGAATACACTTATAAATCATGCTACATTATTTTAGTTTAGAGTGCTTCAGCACAAACAGCTTTTTTGTGTTGAAACATTGTGTTACAGGTTCAAGCTTGTAGGTATGCTGAGAGATATTCTTATAAATCAAAGACACCCTCATAACCTCATGTAGGAATGAAAGATATCATATGCATTTGTTTATATAACAAAATGTATTTTTCACCAATGAAGGTCCATACTAACTCCAATGTCAGATACTGATAAGATAAGGGCCTGGTTAATAAGTGAACATTGGGGGTTTTATGATGTGGTCACATGTTGATTGGTCAGTTTGAATGTCTCAGTATTTGGGCTTTAGTCACATGGTTAAGAAAGAGACAAAATAGGTGGGAAACTCGGCTCTGTCTCGTTTCCTGATCTGTTCTTTTCCTGGTCTGTTTTTTCACCTGCTATGTAGTCTATCTTCTCTGGCTCTACTGCTCTCATTCTTTCTTCAAGGTCTCATTGCTCTCTTTGTCTCTCTCTCACTCCCCCAGTGTCTCTCCTTCTACCTCTGGTAACTTTATTTTTACATTTAAGCTGGGTACAATTTATATCATATGTTCTATCATTTCATATTTGATCATTTTATTCAGTTATTTTTGTAATTAATTCAGTTGTAACCATAGATAATTATTGTCATTAAATCATCTCATTTTCAAGTATTTGTGAATTACTTTTGATTTAACATCAACATTTAATTGCTCCACACTGCACTACAATTCAATCTCATAATATCAACGCTCTCCCACATTTATAGCTATTAATACTGCCCTTATTTCCATTTTTGGTATGAGATTGCAAACGAATTGTTTGACTAGAAATGTACAGATTTTTATCATCATGCTGATCACTTTTAAGTCGCTCAACTCGAACCGCTGTGGTTAAAATCTACTCTTACAACTCAGTATTACTATACCCACAATGTGAAGGTAACTGGAAATATCTATCTATTCAGAGCTGAAAAAAGTAACATGAACAAAAAAGAAAGTTTTTTATCAGTAAGATTATTTATTGTATAAAATATGAAAGACAGAACATCATCGGTTTATCCTACTTTTTAACCCCACAATACACACGTTTAGCATAAGCAATCCATTAAATCTTACAATATAGCTTAAACAATGATTTTTACTTCACATGCTTTTAGTTTATAACTTCTGGCTTATTTGGCTAAATACTGTCAATCAAAACAATATCTACATTTATAAAACCCAAAGACCAAACAGACAATTAATCAAATTTGACAACATAATTATTGAAAATTAGGTTCATTCATTTTCACCAGTGGCAGTTTTTCTTCTTGTTTAGCGGCATCTGGCATGGACATAATAAACTCTTTTATTTTTCCTCTGAAGTAATCAATAAAAGCAAGGAAATGTTCCTTGAATTTTTCCCAAAACCATTCAAATATGCCAATTTGTGCACATTCATACAGCTCATTAGTGTAGCACCCTTTCATCTCTACCATTGAGTCAATCTTCAGCAGTAGATCACTGACCTGCTGTCTGTTGTTTAGATCTTTGTTATTGAGGACATGATAATCCCTACATTTCTGAGTGACTCTTTTGGCAACTTCATTCCCCGCTATCTCTGACTGAATATCCTTTATGTCAAATTCATCACCGTGCGTGAAGAGGATTATCAAATGCTTCAGCACATCTTTACCATAAACCTTTTCCACTTTATTTAGTATGTCCTCCTCCTGCTCTGTAAACCGATCAAATGGCACAACAAATAAGAAAGCATGAACTCCTGGAGCAGAGAGTTTAACACTCCTCGCAAACTCCTTTGCCAGCTGCTCTTTGGAAAGTTTAGTACAGAAAAACCCAGGAGTGTCGATGACGGACACAGATCTGCCATTAGTGTCTGATTTCTCAATTCTAGATTCATTTGTGACAGGAGACAGGCTTTTTTTACATGTAAATCTGTTTTCTCCCAGTATGGTGTTTCCTGATGAGCTTTTCCCAACTCCGGTTTTCCCCAGGAGGACGATATTAATGTTGCCATTGTTTTGCCTCTGAGTTCCTACATGCATTTCAGCTGGAGGAAGAGGAGAAAAAATGTGCATCTTAAATAATCAACAGTTGAGGGATAAGTGATAAATATTTTTATGTTTTTAAAAATAAATCTATTCTGCTCATCCAGCACCCCCCCACACACACAAATAAATAAAAAATAAATAAACAAAAAAAAAAAAGTCAAAAATAAAAAATTTAGCGCAAGCTAAATAAGTGAAGATTCCGCTGAAAATAGCAAATAATTGTTTTCTAGCTCTCTGAATCTGACCCTTTTAGTCTTTGATCCTAATTGTGCTGTTTTGGTGACTGTCGCTTTAAATTTAAATGAGATTGTGCTCTTTCCAGAAGAGGGCGGAGCTACAAATGCCTGTGTGTCAGCAAAGCAGCAGATTCAATAACATGACTAAAGTTATCTGTGTAAAAAAGGTAAAATGTGTGTCAGTGTGTACTTCATCCTTGTGTCATGTCGCTCCTGTCACTGTACATTTAAAACTCCACTATAATCCTCTTAGTCTATGCTGACATTATCTTCAGCAGCTCAAACACTCTAATGGCTAATGGACAGACGGCTGCTTCTCACTCATGGCTTAATGCGTGTTTTGCGAGAAATGCTCGAGTTCGAAAATCTGAACTTCAGCAGACATTCGTGCCGCGTTAACCAATCAGGAGCTTGCTCTTGTGGGGGGCGTGATTGTGGCGTATTGCCTATTGTTGGTGTCCCGGGGGAAATCTTCCACGGGGGGAATCTTCCACTGACAAAAGTTCATCAAACTGGGCTGGGCTCAGTCAGAAGCAGCGCTGAAAGCCTCCGTCGTCCAGGTTGAGTTTCTGAAGGATTTATGAACTTAAAGAGCTGGATGCACCTCTGAAAGGATGTAGTGGACTCAGACACGACCCTATATGCATCAACATTGTTTTTCAGTCTTCATAAAGCACATAAACACTGTTATTTTCTTCATAAAATCCATGTTAGCTATTTAGCAACGAAGCAACAGTCACCGGGCAGACAGAAGCCCTGCCCATCACACGAATCCGCGTCTGTTCTGAAGTCATTTGACTCTCGAATGAAGCGGATTTCACGCACATGAATGAAGCGAGCAAAATCAAATGTTCACGCAGCTATTTAACAGTGCGATTTATCTGTGTGCGCAGCGTCTGGTGTGAACACAGCATTTGAGGCTGGAGGTATTCACACACTGCTGACACACAACTGGGTTTAAACACCGCATAGAAGGGATTATGCATAATAGGTCCCCTAAAACAATCTATAACTGATGCCTTCAGTGTCGCATGATCCTTCAGAAATCATAATAATATATTGATTTAATGATCAACAAATAAATTATTTTATGGTAAACAAACTATTACTACTATTTTTAATAAATAAATAAATAAATAAATAAATAAATAAATAAATAAATAAATTTGACCAGTAGTGTAAATCTAGTGTATATATTGTGTGTGATTCTGGATATACCTGCATTTTGTGAAGGCTGAGATCTTCTGCGACACACACTGTCTGCCTGTGTGTGAGACATTAAGAGACATTCATTGTTTCATAACCTTTTGTCCAGCAATGATTTTACATAAACATATGTTTATGTAAACATAAACATGTTTACTTATTGAACTGTACATAACCACTGCATATGGACATTTGTAATTATGTACACACCCACTATAAATATACACTTGTAATCATGCTTATTTATCCGCATACTACTGATTATTAATAGCAACCTGTACATATATTCATATATTGTAACATATACACTTGTAATCATGTTTATCTATCTGCACACTACTGATTATTAATAGCAACCTGTACATATATTCATATATTGTAACATATACACTTGTAATCATGTTCATCTATCCCTGTACATATATTCATATATTGTAACATATACACTTGTAATCATGTTCATCTATCCCTGTACATATATTCATATATTGTAACATATACACTTGTAATCATGTTCATCTATCCCTGTACATATATTCATATATTGTAACATATACACTTGTAATCATGTTCATCTATCCCTGTACATATATTCATATATTGTAACATATACACTTGTAATCATGTTTATTTATCTGCACACTACTGATTATTAATAGCAACCTGCACATATATATTCATATATTGTAAATCTGCTCAAAGCTTATCCAACCTGTATATAATGTTGATAGTACATCCATCTGTAAATATCACCATAGTTTTCTATAACTGCACTTTAAATTATTCCTGTATCCTGCACTTGCTGCTATTGCACTGCTGGTTAGACCTAAACTGCATTTCGTTGCATTGTACTTGTACATGTGTAATGACAATAAAGTTGAATCTAATCTAATCTAATATGTGAGTTGATATTTGTGATGATCTACCATTGTTCTGGTTTCTTCTCTTTTTAGCTGAGCTGCAACAGCAGAACAGCAAATCTGTAAACATATACAATAATGAAAACTGAATTTCTCTGAAACAATTATTTTCCACAACATTAATATTATAATAAAAATGTAAATGTGTAAAGTACAACACAAATATCGCCCATTTAAACTGAGCCTTTGACTGGATCCAATTTGTAAGATCTCCAGATTGAGCTTGTATTTTTCATTGTAAAATTGGACACTATTTTTTTCCTCATTATCCTGCACTCCAATTCATGTCTGAGCTTATCTCAGGAGTTCTCAGCCTCCAACCATAGAACTCTTTCGGTTTCAGAATTAAACATGATGACGTACTTATGCATCACTGATAAAACTGCTGCAATTTCTCAAAATTAACCCAACAACTGGCTTTGTCCAAATTTAAATAAATTGGGTTAAAATAACCCACTCCTTTTGGATTTTACATTTACACTGGTTAGGGAAAAAAAAAAAAAAAAAAAAAAAAAAAATATATATATATATATATATATATATATATATATATATATATATATATATATATAGTAAAACACATTCTTCTTCAGATAGATTAGCATGATCTAGGAAATTTAAAACTGAGATTAAGGATGTGCAAGTACTCACCCCACTGCTGAGCTTCAGATGCTTTCACTTCTGTAAACCGACACAGATTTATAAACCCTTCAGGCGTCATAAACCCCACCCAGAGGTGGAAAGAGCTCATGGAAATGTACTGGACAAAAGTGGTTCTGATGACAGTGCCTGTTTCATTCTTGTAAAATCCCACTGTGCAATCTGAATTCAGTAAATCTGCCTAGAAATTGTGCAGGCAGTCATGGACCTGTAATTGTGATTAGTCAAACATTTCAAGCTCCACCCCTCCAATGCTTAAGAGAGGACTGTGGAAAATCTGCTTCTCTGCATTGGGTTTAATTCAGAAGGGTTTATTCCTATATCCTAATCCCTTCAGAGGGTAAACGTGAAAGTTATAACATGTGGCCAAGTATGGTAACCCATACTCTTTATTTGAATGGGTTAAATGCAAAGTACAAATTCACACACAAACACCATGAACACACACCCAGAGCAGTGAGCAGCCATCGCGGCAGCTCCAAGAGAGCAGTTGGGGGAACGGTGCCTTGCTCAAGACTGGTGTTGAGAATGGTGAGAGTGCTGGTTTTTCACTCCCAATACTTACAATCCCTGCCGGAGCTGGGATTTGAACGGATGCCCCCTGTGAGTGCACTGTGTGACTCCAAACAACCTCCCTGGACAAATCAATCCTTAATTATAATGTGTCTTTTGAACAATGCTTCAGTATGTTGGCCTAGACTACTTTAACTCTGAAGTGCCATTTTGAGGGCAATATATCATATTTGGAATGCACTACCAGTTAACATATGCACTACCCCACCAATAGAACTATAGAAATGTATGCAGATCACTTATATGACAAGTAATAGTAGTTTATTTATGTAGCACATTTATAGAACACAGCATTGCCCAAAGTGCTGAACACTAATTTAAATGACAAATCACACAGTATTAACTAAATGAACTTAAACATGAAACTTTCAACATTCAGAAGGCTTAAAAGCTAAAGGAAGAAGATAAAAAAACAAACAAAAAAAAAAACAGGTAAGGTGGAAGCTTATTCCAGCATTTTGGAGCAATAACAGTGATATCCTGATCCCCCTTCACTTTCACTGGCTTCTCTGTACAGGCAGAAAAGACTAATCTGATGGCCTTAATGACATACTGGCCCTGTATATGTGTAGGAGATCTGATCAACAAGAAAGTTCCAGGCCACTTGAGGATTTATTAACAAAAATTAATAACTAATAATAGATCCGGAACCTGACAGGCAACCAGCCCAGAGAGGAATGAACTGGAGATAAGAGTTCCTACTTACGAGTTCCTCTCAATGCATTTCACATATGTACTGTACAGTATGTGTGTGTCTTATATATACAAATTAGTAATTCAAGTGGTTGACAAAATGTATATGCAACATGCACTCACTGGCCACTTTATTAGGTACACCTGTCCAACTGTTCGTTAAAGCAAATTTCTAATCAGCCAATCAAATCGCAGCAGCTCAATGCATTTATGTATGTAGACATGGTCAAGACGATCTGCTGCAATTTAAAACAAGCATCAGAATGGGGAAAAAAAGGGGATTTAAGTGACTTTGAACGTGGCATGGTTGTTGCTGCCAGACTGGCTGCTCTGAGTATTTCAGAAACTGCTGATCTACTGGGATTTTCACGCACAACCATCTCTAGTGTTTACAGAGAATGCTCCGACAAAGAGGAAATATCCAGTGAGCGGCAGTTCTGTGGGCGCAAATGCCTTGTTGATGAGGCCAGAGGTCAGAGGAGAATGGCCAGACTGGTTCCAGCTGATAGAAAGGCAAAAGTAACTCAAATAAGCACTCGTTACAACCGAGCTCTGCAGAAGAGCATCTCTGAACACACAACACGGCCAACCTTGAGGCGGATGGGCTACAGCAGCAGAAGAGCACACCGGGTGCCGCTCCTGTCAGCTAAGAACAGGAAACTGAGGCTACAATTCACACAGACTGGAGAAACGTTGCCTGCTCTGATGAGTCTCCATTTCTGCTGCCACATTCGGATGGTCGGGGCACAATTTGGCCTCAACATGAAAGCATGGATCCATCCTGACTTGTATCAGCGGTTCAGGCTGGTGGTGGTGGTGTAATGGTGTGGGGGAGATTTTCTTGGCACACTTTGGGTCCATTAGTACCAATTAAGCATGGTGTCAACGCCACAGCCAGCCTGAGTATTGCTGCTGACCATGTCCATCCCTTTATCCAATTCGGTACTAGTAAAGTGTACCTAATAAAGTGGCCGGTGAGTGAATATTTCAAAATAATGTAATGCAATTAATAAAAATTTTAGTAAAGATGTTCTTTTATCATATAACATATTTCACATAATTTAACATTTTTGTTCACTAACCTGTCTTTTTATGTTTTTTTTATTTTCTTTTAATCCTATTTTAATACATTTAAAAAAATCATTTTAATTCTTTGTTTACATATTTCTTGTATTATTTTTGTTTATTTTATTCTTGCTTATTTATATAAAGCACTTTGATTTACCATTGTGTATAAAATTTGCTATATAAATGACTTGCCAATTAACAAAAACTCACTGAATATTACGAATCCACCTTTCATCCACCATATAAATCCACCTACTTTATGTAAGAACGTGTAGAGTAGATGTAAATGTATTCTGCTAATCCTGAGAAACACAGAACATGTTTGCACAGTGCTCTATGATCACCTGATTCTTTGTGGATTTCTCTCTGAAACTAAGAGACAACAGTAGCAGCTATTTATTTATGGTAACATGTGACGCCACAGCAATGAAATGAACATTATTTTAACAACATAAAACTATACTGCGCATGACTGGTGAGAAAAACAACAACAAAAGAAACAGAAATGTCTAAAAAACAAAAACAAACACATAAGTGAAGTGTGTCATGACTCACTTCCCGAGTGTTTGTGGATTTTTTTTATTTTTTTGCTTATCTCCCCATTCTTCCCTTTTGTTCTCATGGGGTTTAATTGTTTCACTAGCCCTAGATAGCCTATATACATCCATTCTTCACTATCGGTTTGCGGTTCGATGTTTAGTTTCAGATGGCTTAGTTAGAACATGGAAAACATTAGACATAGAGTTCTTGTTTATTTAATAAAACCCAGTTTTTTGCAAGTGGATCCACCTCTTTCTGTACTAAATGCAATGTCATTTTTTACTGAACATAAAAAGAGTCATGGAGGCAAATCTGGAAATGCCACATTACAGTTAATCACCATATTGTAAGAAAATGTAGTGTTAACAAGATTACAGATTTTGTGTGTAGCATTTTTAAATGTTTTTGTAAACTTATTAGTATAGTCAATAGAGATTAAATACATATGTGCAAATGACACTTGGTATACACATTCATGCCTGTCTGATGACAAAATATATGCAGCATTTTTTAAAATATTGTTCAGGTCATATATCAAATTTCCGTATTCTAGCATTGGCATAGTGAATATTAGAATTATAATTATTATCATTATTATTATTATTTTACCGTAAACGAACGTACACTAGCCTATAGGGAAGCTGTTTATTTATCTGCTTAATGTTTAAAATACAACACCATATGCACTTTAGATTTAGAGCGAGTGAAACGAAAGTGAAAGTATATCTACAGAAGCCATTTTAATGAAGTTTCTGTCAACCATTTTACAGTCATTCTGCATTGCTCTCCGTGCTGTGAACACACACCCGAGCACATTTCAGTCTAGAATTATATCAAATTATTTTGACCAAAACACGAGACTGATCAACTGACGGTAAGATTGACGATTTAAAGACTACACAATAAGCTTATTGTTTAGTCACTTTTTATTTATCTGTTTATTTTTTAGCTAAACATCTCTGGTTTGCGATAGGCTAACTGCTGCTGTATTTACATCTATATCCTAATATACAAGGTTTATATTATAACAAAAAAAAAAAAAAAAAAACTCGTTTTATAAATTAAATATAACAACAACTTTACTAATAATCTTGTGTTTTTCAGAGATGCAAACATTTGACAGTCTTCATCTTCAGCTGATCGGTAAAACCGGTTCAGGAGTGAGCGGCTCTGCAAACACTATCCTGGGGGAAAACAGGTTTAAATCCGAGCGGAGTTTGACCTCCATCACCGACAGATGCCAGAAACACACAGCTAAAGTGTGTAACAGAACAGTGACAGTGACTGACTCTGTTAACTTCTTCAACTCAAATGACATTGATCTGCGCGTGGAGTTAGAGAGAGAACTGCGCACGCGCGCTGAGGGAATACACGCGATCCTGCTGGTGCTCCGTTTACACACATTCACTGCACAAGACGCAAAGCTCCTGTCATTATATAAGCAGATGTTCGGCAAGAGTGCAATGAAACACACAATAGTGCTGTTCACACACGGAGATGAGCTTCAGCATACATCTCTCTCTCAGCTGATCAGAGAAAACTCAGAGCTGTCCAAACTAATAGAGGAGTGTGGGGGGAGATTTCACCTGCTGAACAACACAGATCTGAACAACAGAGATCAGGTCACCAAACTCCTGATGAAGATTGATCGAATGCTGTCTGATAATAAGAACAGATGCTACACTTTACAGATGTTTATGCAGGCTCAGGCGATCAGAATACATCATCTGTGTGCAGTCAGTGTTGTCATTGTGTTGGCATTGGGTTATGTGAATATGAGGAATGAAGATTATTGGGGGTTTAATTCATTTCTTCATGGTTGTTTTGGGGGGGTCTTATCAGCTTTGGTAGGGTATGCTTCAGGACACATTTGTGCAAATATGTGGAAAAATGAGATCAGGAAGTGTGGGAAATGTACCAAAAGACACCTGAGAAATGTTCAACTGCTGTCAGTAGCATGGGGTTGTGGTGCTGGAGGAATCAGTGTGTTTTTGACAGGTCCAGTGTGTTTATCCACTGCATTATTGAGAGGGACACAGGGGAGTCTTATGGCTTATATCACAATGATGAAGCACCGCAGATTGATATGATGCATTCCTCAGTATCCTATTATCACTTCTTTCTTTTTACGTGTCATTAACA